CAGACACTGAGCTAGGATCATTTTGTTCAGGGAATTTCTCGATAAACGGCTTAGGTGTATTTACATCTTGATAAACTGATAAAAGAAAGTTGTTATAAAAAGAAATTGCATCAAAAAAAAGAGGTATTTATAAAGCAAGAAGACTGTTTTCTATGAAGAAGGTGAATGAAATCAAGAAAATTCGCGTTTTCTACCAGCTACTCATCCTTCGACTCTACATTGATGTAGACTTTCCAGATAAAAAAAAGTACCAGTCACACCGTTACGTGGTAATCAACACTAACTATGAGATTGAAATGATGGAGAATATTTGTAGCTAGGGTAAATAGTCTTGGTTCGATTGTGTTGTCTGAACTGAGTTGTTTAATGAAAATTATACAAGAGTAACACGTTCCACGTTGTTCAAAGATGAGAGAACTTCTCCAAGAGGCAAACCTCCACAAAAGCACAACTATTCATACTCCATGAGCGCCTACATTAGCATATTCCACCGAAAAGTGTCGGATATAGACTACTGATTTACTGGCCAATAGGATTGGAAAATAGCTGAACAAAATGGAAGATAAATGGTACAATTGATGATCATAGATGCACATAACTGGATCCCGAGATACCAGTTAATGATTAATAATCAAAAGAGAAAAATACAAAGCATATTCATGACATAAAACATGACAACGTTAACAACACGATTAAACAACCCAGCTCAGAGAACACAATACAACCAAGACTAAGTACGATAATTGACTAGTAGTTCATGAAAATAATAATTACAGAAATGAAAGATAAGAAATAACACAAATAGATTGATTATAGAAAGGTGAATAATAAGAACAATAATAGCAGAAGAATCTTTAATACGTCACTGTATAACAAAATAAATATAACTAAAATTATTTATCCCTTGGGCTCCTAGTGGAACATACAGCTTCAGAAGCACGTCTCCATTCCACTCTCTTCTCTGAAATATTCTCAACCTGACTCCACAACTGCCCACAACCTATCATTTCTTCCTCACATGATCTCCATATCACCCTCAACACTGACGCACAACTCGTCACTTCCCATCTGGGTTCCACTTGAGGGACTGGCCTGGCCTCCCCTGGCCTGGCCTGACGAGTGATGTCCCCACTCGACCTTCTCAGTGTATGACCAATCCAATCCATCTCGACTTCCTGATACTGAATATTTGTTGGGTGGTAGATTCTTGCTTAGTTGGTTCGTTCCCAGCCAGCCAGACTTCCTTGTTGTTTATTCTCATTATTCTGGCCATCTGATCTTCAGTATCTGGCGAGTGTAGGCAGTTGTTGATGAATGTCTGTAGTTTGTTGGGAATGCCTTTCGTAACGCGCCAAGTCTCTCAACCATCACATGGGAGCACTGGCGTGACTGAATTGGTGTTATAAATCCGGATGTTGTTCAGGCTTTATGCTGAGTGGAGCGCAGTAGATCTCCACACTGGTTTCAGATTAATGAAGGCTTGTCTTGCTTTTCCGATCATGGATTTGACGTCGTCGTCGTCTGTGCCACCATCACCTGTAGTTGAGACGATGCTGCCTTGCCTAGGTGGGTGAAAGAAGCTACTTCCTTTAAGTTTCTCCCATTGATGGTGATTGGAGCTTGTTGTTGTTGTTGGTGGTGGTGGTGTTGGTTGGGTATCTTCATCACCTCTGTCTTCTCTGTATTCACTTGAGGTTCCGTTTTTGCTGCAGTGCCTCACCTCTTCTATCAACTTGTTGAATTTTGCCTATGGATCTCCAAGTTTGTGTGACATTAGACACAAGTGATCACTGGCGAAATCCAAATCTTGTAGGTTATTTTCCGCGGTCCAGCGTATCCCCCTCTTCTCGTTCCTCACAGTTTGTTGCATGATCCAGTCGACCGCAATGAGGAATATCATGTGTGATAATAGACAGCCTTGTCTTACTCTTTCCTGTATTCACTTCAAAGGTATCACTGATCTTCCCATTGTGAATCGTACTTGACATGTGGCGTCTTCATGTAGTTGTTGAATGAGATTGATAAATGTGTATGGTATTGTGTAGTGTTGAAGCAACTGCTAAATTACTTGTCGGTCGACGCTGTTGTAGGCTTTTTCGAAGTCGATGAAGTTGAGTTGAGGTAGAGATTTGACTGCCATTCTATAATTTGAACAAACTGAATAACAAGAGGTTAAATTTTTACCAATTATTAGATAAGAATAACGAGATATTAATAGAAAAGAAAGGGTAGTCTATAACTAGTGAAAAAGTTCAATTATATTTATTAGTAGGATAGTAAAAAACCGGATCTTGTAACTCAGTTAGTAGAGTACTGGAGCCGGGAATTGGGAAGTCGTCTCAATCCCACCGTGATGCATCAGTATCAGTACTAGTCTGGCAAACCGCAGCTATCTCATATGGTCAACCTCATCATCAAAGTTGTTGGAGAAATTTGTTTTTCAACTTGGTATTCATTATGGACTAACATCGATTAAAGAAACATTGGAAACATGGGGAAACAAAGCAGCTCTTTCTTCAGAGTATGTGACTCCTTAGCAGTGCACACCTATAACCCTGCCAGGAGTCAAATGTGAGAATGCATAGCGATGGCTTTCACAATGCAATATAAACGAATATACAGTCCTCATCAGAGAATAAAAAGCATCTGATCAATAACTATGAATATTTGTCTAGTATCAAATAAGTCATTTCGCCGATGACTTGTGTCTGATGTCACACAAACTTGAAGATCTATAGGCAAAATTCAACAAGTTGATAGAAGAGGTGAGGCACTGCAGCAAAAACGGAACCTCAAGTGAATACAGAGAAGACAGAGGTGATGAAGATACCCAACCAACACCACAACCACCACCACCAACAACAACAACATAAAGCTCCAATCACCATCAATGGGAGAAACATAAAGGAAGCAGCTTCTTTCACACACCTAGGCAAGGCAGCATCGTCTCAACTACAAGTGTCGGTGGCACAGACGACGACGTCAAATCCATGATCGCAAAGGCAAGAAAGGCCTTCATTAATCTGAAACCAGTGTGGAGATCTACTCCACTCCACTCGGCATAAAGCTTGAACAACATCCGGATTTATAACACCAATTCAGTCACGCCAGTGCTCCTGTGTGATGGTTGAGAGACTTGGCGCGTTACGAAAGGCATTCCCAACAAACTACAGACATTCATCAACAACTGCCTACACTCGCCAGATACTGAAGATCAGATGGCCAGAATAATGAGAATAAGCAACAAGGAACTCTGGCTGGCTGGTAATGAACCAACTAAGCGAGAACCTATCACCCAACAAATATGCAGTATCAGGAAGTGGAGATGGATTGGTCATGCACTGAGAAGGTTGACTGGGGACATCACGTGCCATGCACTTGAGTGGAATGCAGATGGGAAACGACGAGTTGTGCGTCGGTGTTGAGGGTGACATGGAGGAGATGGTGTGAGGAAGAAATGATACGTTGTGGGCAGTTGTGGAGCCAGGTTGAAAAGATTGCAGAGAAGAGAGTGGAGTGGAGACGTGCTACTAAAGCTCTATGTTCTATTAGGAACACAAGGACAGATAATAAATTAAATAAGTGTTTAAATGGAGAACCCCCTTTTATTGTTGTTATCTATTCTTTAGTGAATTATAGTGTTTAATACTCATAAATAGTACAATGGATCATCTTAAAATATACACCTTAAATAACTACCTTCACAGGAGGAAGTGAGCTGATAGATTCAAGTAAAATAAGTTAACTCAGACAGGTTCTTGGTTGTATGTTAGAAGATGGATTATAATTTAACAGTTGAAAGTGTTCTCTGCAAAACTCTTACAACATGTTATGCGGTTATGAGTTCCCTAATGATACTATTCTTGGATTTAAATGTTACGAAGACTGGTCTTCTAGAAACTACAACTATTCTCCACTTCGCCTTCTTTTCATTCAGATGCTTAAACACCAGCTTCACTAAATAACCAGTCCAAATAAATACATTGCGGATAGTAGTCATCTCATCGTTCATGATCATAATACCATCAGAAACAAAAGGTTGGTAAATAACAGTCAGCCATTCCATAAGGTTTGATACTATATATGTGAGTATACAGATTTGTCGATAGTAACATTCAGCTTGTACACCACAATAGATTCCACCTAAACTTTTCAACAGTAGGATATCTAGAAATATATAATACCTTTCATTTTGCCCTTCTATTGTGAAAGTGATAGATACATGAAAACTATTGAACTTTTCAAGATAAATTTTCTTACAAACTTCATTGTCCACAATTATGAGAAGTCCTGAATGGGCAGTCAGTGTGAGTACCATCAAGTGGTAGTAACGCATCACAAATTCATATGGTGGTCGAGCAAAACCCCACTTGGTGACTGAAGTGAAATAAAATCTGATCACTAGTCGGATCTCTTGTAGTTTAGTTTGGAGAACACTGAGTAGGAAACTCGGTGGTCGGTGGTTCGAATCTGGCTATCTCAGATAAGTATAAAAGTGTCAACTATGTAAGAGTAATAATATCTTAACTGGATGATTGTTTTTTTTTATTCTTCAGAGAATAATTCAACAATTTTATCAGATTAAATGGTAATTCCATAATAAAACTATCAGACTGTCTATTGACTAAAACTGAGTACTCATTGTGCATATCACAAGAAACACTTTCATAGTGAAAGCAGGAGATTCTTTCAAGATGTTACACTTAGTCAGTTTATCATATGGAATATCTATACTGTATCCAGTAGAAGAATATCAAATGATACTATTAAGTTATCATTCACCTTTTAGATAGATATTCAGAAGTTGGGTTAACCATTTCAGTATTATGTAATGCAAAGAATTAAACACGCCAATAATGAAACGAAGAAACACAAACCATATTTATGCACTTTTCATCCATAATCCTATTAAAATCTCAGATAATCTACTTACATGTATGCGCATAGAAATGAGAACGATGTACAGTAAGTATGGCGAGTATAACAAATACACCACTTACCAGGAGCATTGATAGCAACTTTAGCTCCACGACGTTCACGTATATTACGCGTCAGTGTTCTAAAAAGTAGAGAAATAGTAAAGTTGTTGATAATAAAAAAAGAGCCGATATCATTTCCTTAAACATTATAATCATCTTCATTTAAGAAAATGTAGTATGGATAAGATGCATGAAATCGGTTCCTATATATATAAACTGGTATACAGACGAAAACCTCACCATATCCATCCAACAGGTAATACTCTGAAAAACGCTGAGAATAATTCAAAGAAAACAACGTCTGTCTGACATCATTTTCATTCCTTGTGTTTCACTTCAGCTGATTTTGATCCCACTTCAGTGATACATAACCAACAACAAGAAGGTTGTTGGTTGTTGTCTAGCTGAGAAATGTACGAAAGTGGGAACATCCTGGTTAAAAATCCTTACCTATAGTTTTTATGCTTAAAAATGCATACCATTGACGAAAACAAATCTTGAGGGAGTTGTGGAGATTTGGAATTATTTCAAGTTGTTATTCATTGTAGACTGACATCAGTTGGAGGAACAAAGGAAACCTGGGAGCACTGGACAGCTGTTTCATCCTAGTATGGGACTCCTCAGCAGTGCGCACCCACGACCCCACCAGCAGGGATCGAACCCGCAACCTTCAGAAATCACCATCCAAATTACTTAAATCCTCTGAACAAGTCATAATAACTAAATTCATCTGGTTTTACTCTGTCTATTACACTTGATTGACTCTTTTCTCTTCGTCTATACCGTTTACAAATTCAACAGTAAGAACTAATACACTTCACATGGATTCATACACTAATCTGTTTTGCTTTTCCAGACTACACTAAACTGAATATCATGACTTCACCTCTTCACAGTTCACACACACAGACACACATTTTCCAATATCATGACTGATAAAGATATCTATTCCACCTATCATCAAGAAATATAATCACTTCTTGTATAACAAATTAGTCTACAATAAACAATCCTCTCCACTGAATTCAATCTATGAACATATCAATCTTACGATAATAAATATCTTACATAGTCTAAATGCTAACCCCATTCTGAAGATACAATAGCAACAATCCACGACTTAATTGGTTGTCAATCGGTGTTTTACTAAACCAAATCTTCATTTCAAAAGTGAATTAAACTTTCAAATGAATAAATTGTAGTAGTTGGTAAGTGTATATTCACTTCTGCCTTACAAATTATAAGTGTAACTGGAAAGTAGCTTGAAGAATCCCGTTAAGTTGGATAGTTCCGTCTAATAAGTGTTCATTTCAGTGATGTAAATACTCTCTACAGACAAGGTGATTAACGATGCACATGTAGTGGAGTATGATTTGAAGGCGTTTTCTGTTAACCACAATTTCAATGGATCGAATTACAGACCTTAACATAACTAAAACTTCAGATGTTCGCAGTATATACTCATCTGATTGTTTTTCAGTTGCCATGATAGACAGAAATATGTAAAACCACCTACATTTCAGACGTCATCTCTTCTCAAATGTTAATCTTTAATGTTACAAAATCTAATTAAAATCATTTCATCAACCAATAAAATTTATGTGTTAAATCTCAATGGGTTTCTTCAGTATTCAACAAAACTGAAATCTACAGCAGTTATTCTATTCCATTCGATTTTATCTTACTGCCCTGAAAAAGGTTCCCTCTACACACAACTAATACACCAAATAAGTTGTCCATTAAGAGTGATTTTCACTTATCCTTATAACTTACTCCAGTCAACAGAGAAATCTGGGAGTCATTCACACTTTTGTATAGTCCATTAATTTAGTTCATATGAACTCCTGACAGGTTGGATACCAAAGGACACAATTAAACACATAGTGTTCTCATGATTTGTTAACATGCGTAACTAACATTCTCAGTCAATTGTTATATTCACTGTTAAGCATAATCGAATACGTAGTCAATTACAAATGTATAACATATGACAAGGCTTACTTGAAACGTGGATGTCCTTGGTTGATAGCAGCATCTGGAAAGAATAGACTCCTTGAAACACCACTATCAGGAGTTGGATTGGCAGCTGGATAACAAAATTCCTCACAGCCTAGTCTGAATTGTAATACACAATCAATATAATCAGCAATATTTATTGATGAGGTGACACTAGAGAGGAAATCATAAATTGTTAATATTACAAAATAATGAAATTTCATCAACATCTTATTCCCTGGGATGAATCTGAACAACGTAATAAAAGCAGAATTTGAAGGATACGATGAGGTATACAGTGAAATAAAGTCATCACATTATCCTATAAACACTATCCTTCTCACTTTGTTCATTTACACTACTAAATTTGAGACAAAATAATCAGAAGTGAATCATTATCTAATGGGTGTATATAAAGCAAATCTTGTTTAGGCATACTATGCCAAAAAGTGGTAAAGATGATCAGTAAATTAACTGACTGACTAAGAGTTTATATATATATATATATATACATATATATATATATATATATATATATGAAAAAATGAACTTCCTTCAGTGTTACAATAAAGTGTTGTATTACGGGTATCTTTAAAGGCCACCCTGGTAACAGCTGTTATAACCATTCAAGTCTCAGTATTCTGACCAGAAAGGTAATATAAGAATAAAACTTGGGCACTGTGGCCGATTGTAATTCCATTTTGGTCTGTTTATTAGAAATGTCACATATTGAAGGAACAATATCATTTAGTGGATGACGTTTCGGATATAATTTATTCATGTCAGGTAACTCCATAGCTTCGAGACAGACTTTATATATTCCTAATTTTCTCTCCTTCTCTGTGACGACAAGGGTAGTAGAATTTTCCTATTACTGTATGTATTTGGTGTTGATTGGACAAAAAGATTCAGTCGGTTATCAATCTCTCCCTCCACCCAACTAAGTTAGCTTTCAACACTGTCGCTTTATCCCACCCTACTAGATATATGGAAAATCCTTCTACTCTTGTCATCACAGAGAAAAAGAGAAAATTAGGAATATATAAAGTTTGTCTCGAAGTTCTAGAGTTACGTGATATGAGTATGGACAATAAATTGTATCCGAAACGTTATCCAGTCAGCTCTACTGTTTCACTGTATGATATTTCTAATAAACAGACTAAAAGGGATGCACAACTAAATACAAAACTTCAATCATACCAGCTTATTTAGCTTGTGTAGTATGTGGAGAAAAACTTCTTGGACATAGACTTATCCATCAACTTTGTAATAGCGAATAGTTATCATATCCCTGAAGTCATTAGACATTTCAGTAATCCTGTTATTCATTATTCTTTATTACAGATTGTTAAACAGTACCATTGTTAATGTTTTAATAAAATGTTGTACAATGGGTAAAATGATATAATAACACACGCTGAGAATTCTGTACGATAAACAATTATGGTTTGGAATAAAGTAACTTTATTATTATTGTTATTATTATTATTATTTCGATAGTCTTTGTGAAAATCGGCAAACTTGATTCAATAAACTATCCACCACTAAGATGACCTGGTCAGGAAAAAAAAAAGAAAGTCATTTTTGCCTCAGAAATGCTGTTACTTTCCTGTTTGATATCGAATTTTGCTATATATCGGATATGTTTCGATTAGGAAGGGAATTCATATGAATACACACACACCTTTCAACAACTAAAACTACCTTAGATGCTGCAGTTATTTCATAATATTATTGCCAGTCTGGACAAAGATAGTAGTATATTAGATCTGCGTTACTTGATTACACTTCTGACTTTGACTCTAACCCTAGACCCATCTTGCCAGTAATCGAATTGAGTCCTGGATTGTAAACTGGCTTGATTCATATTTCAAGTGAGAGGAGACAGTACACCCTATAAAAGAGGGAAAAGCTCTACTTAGATGCTTAGTGAAGTCGGTGTGCCTCAAGGTGCTGTTCTTTCTCCTTTCCCTTTAGCGTAAGATGTGAAAAAGACTTTTGCACATTGCTTCAGTCTCATGACTCTTGTCTTATAGATGTTTCTGTTATAGAGAATGTAGTAAGTGTGGTTTGTCTTGGCTTATGCTTTTCTTCTCATCTTTCTTCGTCCCCTCATATCTTTTTCATTTCCAAGAAAATCCTTCACTTCACCTTTTATATTAGAAAACTCAGACTGTCTGGTATGACTCAATCTCTACTGTTACGTTTCATTAATTCGTGTGTTTTACCTATACTTATTTATTGTCCCCTTTTATTCTTTCATCGACCCTGGAGAAAGGATCATGTTGTATTGCGTAAGATTTTGAAGGTTGTTAGTAGAGTAAGTGGCACACTCCTAACCAAGCTGATAAATACAGTTGTGGATAGGCACCTGAACTCTTGTAGACTACTGGCTAAACATATAATGTGTGATGACAAGTATCCTCTGTATCGATAAGTTTCATCATGTCTGTCGTCTGAGAAGAGAGGAAGGAAATATATTAAACTCTATATACACACAACCACATACCAAAATTCAGCTATATGACCTTATTTAACTTATATATTATATCAAGTTGTTATTCATCGAAGACTGACATCAGTTGGAGGAACAAAAGAAACCTGGGAGCACTGGACAGCTGTTTCGTCCTAGTATGGGACTCCTCAGCAGTGCGCACCCACGACCCCACACCAGCAGGGATCGAACCCGCTACCTTCAGGTTCCGCGATCAGCGCGTTACCATTGAGCTAGCCACTGGGTCAGAATCCAATGCTCCATATTTCCAACTTCTGTTAGCTCACGATATAGCACAAACCGCCACCCAATGTCATCGTTGAGTATTTGTCCTCACGGCCATCAGGCTTTGACTCCACCGGTCACGACTTGTCATTGGAACTTCGGGAATACTTCTCGAAGTTAGTCACCAACGAGCACTAGTTCAATTAAATTTTGAGGGGTTGTGGAGATTTGGAATTATTTCAAGTTGTTATTCATCGAAGACTGACATCAGTTGGAGGAACAAAGGAAACCTGGGAGCACTGGACAGCTGTTTCGTCCTAGTATGGGACTCCTCAGCAGTGCGCACCCACGACCCCACCAGCAGGGATCGAACCCGCGACCTTCAGGTTCCTTTGTTCCTCCAACTGATGTCAGTCTTCGATGAATAACAACTTGAAATAATTCCAAATCTCCACAACCCCTCAAAATTATATATTATATGAAGAAAATCATCTTAGACCATAGTCTTATCAATCAACTTCACAACAGTGAACAGTTATTATGACCTTGAAGTCATTAAACAATTCAACAATCCTGTTATTCGTTATTCTTTAGTATATACTGTTCAAAGAGCATCATTTTTAATAGTTTTTTTGAAAAATATTGTACACTCAGTAAATTTGTGCAATATCACATGCTAATAATTCTGTACTTCAAACATAATTATCGTTTGGAATAAAGAAAAAATTATTATCATTATTACTGTTAAATGCGAAGTAATTCATAATGTCAAGCTCGGTGATACCTTTGAAGTGAATACAAGAAGGAGTAAGACAAGGCTATCTACTATCATACATGACATTCCTGATTGCGATGGACTGGATCATGCAACAAACTGTGAGGAACGAGAAGAGGGGATACGCTGGACCGCGGAAAATAACCTACAAGATTTGGATTTCACCAGTGATCACTTGTGTCTAATGTCACACAAACTTGAAGATCTACAGACAAAATTCAACAAGTTGACTGAAGAAGTGAGGCATTGCAGCGAAAATGGGACTTCAAGTGAATGTTGAGAAGACAGAGGTGATGAAGATACCCAACCAACACCACAACACCACCACCACCAGCAACAACAACAAGCTCCAATCACCATCAATGGGAGAAACTTAAAGGAAGTAGCCTCCTCCACCCACCTAGGCAAGGCAGCATCGTCTCAACTACAGGTGTCGGTGGCACAGACAACGACGTCAAATCCATGATCGGAAAAGCAAGATAGGCCTTCATTAATCTGAAATCAGTGTGAAGATCTACTCCACTCCACTCAGCATAAAGTGTGAACAATATCGGTATTTTCAACAACAATTCAGTGAAGTCAGTGCTCCCATGTGATGCTTGAGAGACTTGGCGCGTTACGAAAGGCATTCTCAACAAACTATAGACATTCATTAACAACTGCCTACGCTCACCAGATACTGAAGATCAGATGGTCAGAATAGTGAGAATAAACAACAAGGAACTCTGGCTGGCTGGTAATGAACCAATTAACCGAGAACCCATCGCCCAACAAATATGCAGTATCAGGAAGTCGAGATGGATTGGTCATACACTGAGAAGGTCGACTGGGGACATCACTCGTCAGGCCAGGCCAGGGGAGGCCAGGCGAGTCCCTCGAGTGGAACCCAGATGGGAAGTGACGAGTTGTGCGTCGGTGTTGAGGGTGATATGGAGGAGATGGTGTGAGGAAGAAGTGAGAGTTTGTGGGCAGTTGTGGAGTCAGGTTGAGAATATTTCAGAGTAGAGAGAGGAGTGGAGACGTGCTACTGAAGCCCTATGTTCCATGAGGAACCCAAGGCATCTTATTGTGTGGGCGTTTCGATACTCAAGGAGCTACTTAGACTCTAAATCATTTCACCCTGTATCAGTTTAAGTTGCTTTTGTAGAATGTATAAGTAAAAGGGGGACAGAAAGTTACCGGTAAAACACAAGATCTAAGACAAGAAATCAGATACCTTAAAGACACCTTATTCATCAACAATTACCCTCCTAAATTAGCCCATAAGTTCCTTAGAAATGGTAAGAAATATATGAATAATATTAGTAACACAGGTATTGATAGTAGTAATAATAATGTTAACAGTAATAGTGGGAATACTGTGAAGAGAGAATTCAAACCATACCATACAAGGAAAGCACCACAGAGATATTACTTAGGATTCTCAATAAGGCTGGGACTACAGCAGCATGTAAACCAACAAACTCACCCAGAGACAAAGTTTGTAAACTAAAAGACCGTATTGATCCAATTAGGCAGAACAGTTTAGTTTACCAAAACCCTTGCAACGATTGTAAGGTCAAATGTAATAGGTCAGTCAAAGTAGTAATAGACTAGGTTCAGTTAGGTTATCTGAGCACAAAAAAC